CACATATATCTTTCAAGGCAATGTACGAAATACAGTAAAAGCAGCTGAAAGAAAGTTAAAAACACTACAGGAAATAATAACAAATGTATTTTAAAAACCACACAGTACAAATAACTAGCCACCCATGGCAGAGGCCCATTCATCCCGCTGTGAAAGCTTGTCACACACAAAAAAGTATTCAATTGTTAACGGAAAGTGCAGAAAGTTGGCATGGGTCATATATTGATAGGAATGCTGTTACATAAAATGGCGGCAGCCATGCTGAAGTTACTGCAGAGTAGGTGTTACAGAAAAAATATGGGGGTTGGCTTTTGATGCCCAACTCCCCAAGGGACTGAGTCCCCTAAGTCCATGATCGGTCAGAGATGAGTGGATGGAGGCAAGATCCATAGGAAACAAGGCAGATCTTTTTTTCCTGTTGCAACAGAGCCCCCCCCCGCCCCCCCCCCCGCATCCTTGCAAGGAGGTAGGAGAGACCCAGAACAATGGTGCTCAAGACCCTATAAAGACTTTGGATACTGCCCACCTTGTAGCCCAAAACCACCCCCCAAAACATCTCCAGCAGAAATTTGAGAGTGTTGCTTCTCTCCTGTCTGCCAGGATACCTGATAATGCCTTACTTGATTGCATTTTCTGGGTAGCCTGGCCATTCCTTTGAGACTTTAGTTCCTGAATCTCCCTCACATATTGATAGTTTGCTCAGCTTAACAGATACTTGCCAGACTGCATTCGAAAAGGGAGGTGTTATGCCCCTACCCTCCAAAGACCATCCGAAAGCGTTTCCCATTTCCTTCCTCCTCGCAGAGAAATATTTGAGGTAAATTTGGGAGAGTCCAAAATGGCTTCAGGGTTGCTCTCCTGTACTATTGCAGACCCATGGCTTATATACTTATTTACTTACTTATGCATGTGTGTTTGCCTTGTACATTTATGGACGTTTATTCTATATTTGAGACCTTCGAATTCTTATAACGATGGCTTCTGAAATCTTCAGGAGTTGAAGGAGAAACTCTCCTGCAGGCCACAGCAACTCTTCTGGGTATAGAAGGGCCTAACCCTGTGGAGGTTTGCTCTGTAGCAGGAGCTACATGACAACTCAGCCAACATGGCCTCATCCCACACTCTCCTCCGGCTTCTCTCAGGCCTGAAACTCTCCAGTAGTTTGATCCTTCCAGCTTGAACACAACCACCTTGTTCCCCCCTCTCAGCCTTGCTTACCTGCTGCCTAGGCTGGCCTCCAAAGTGGAGCGGGAAAAGATGGCGGTTTGGAGGCTGACGGGCCGATCATCTCCTCAGCTTGGGTTGGGAATGGAGGATAGGACGGAGGTGGAAGGAGGAGCCAGAAACTAGGCAGCTACAGGCAAGCTCAGGCCCATGAGGGGGTGTGAATCCAAACTTAAGTTGTGGAAGGTAGCTTATGCTGCCTGGGTCAGGGTATTATTTAGGGCTTTAGGCAAATGTAAACTTGATTTGTTCTCTCTCTCTATAGGGTGTTGAACGGAAACACTGGCCACATTCGCACCCTTTACGTTCAATGCACTTTTGCCATGGCTTTCCACAAAGGATTCTGGGAACCTGTAGTCTGCCAAGAGTGCTGAGAGTTGTCAAGAGCAATGCCTTTTTGGGTATACTGTATATATAAAAAGGAGGCGCCAGTACTCAAGTGCTGAGCACAAAATGGCTGCCATACACAGCAAAACAAGAAAGGTGTGCTGGTACTCTGTACCAATGAGTGCTGTCACACACACACAAGCTGCAATTCCCAGAGTTCACTGGGAAGAGGGCTTTATTGTCAAACCACTCTGTGAGTGAAAATAGGGGTTACTCTGCATCTCTCAGCACCCTTTAAAAAATCCAGTTCTTAGGATTATTTGGGGGAAACTGTGGCTGTTAAAGTGGTAAGATAGGTTTTTTTTAAAGAATAGCATGGATTGGGCCAGTACTGAACATTGGACAAGCCAGGCCTCCTTTTTTCAGGAGTTTCTAGGCCTGGGAGCTGGCTTTTTTCTTTCCTTTTTTTGACCCAGAAGCCTGTTATTCCCTTGCTAAGAAGTTTGGAAGCCATCTTTCTAGGGTCCTTGCTAACGGGAACTTCAATTCCTTGATTTCCATATGTCAGAATAAGCATTTTAGTAAATCATGTGGCATCAGAAGGGCTGGATTTGAAGGCAGCACCTCGGCGCTATGAGGTCACAAAATAAACTTCCAAATGCAGCATAAAACCATTAAGTGCAGAGTTCAAAATGGCTGGACTTTTGATTGAGAGCTGCTGAGAGTGCGCTTTTTGGGGGTGGGGGACAAGTGTCCCCCCCCCCCACATAAATACAGGGCTGATGGAGCATGTAGAACTTTTCCCAGGATGTTTCAGGTATTATTTACAGCAGGTAGCAGCTGTCAGTTGAAGTGCAACCTTTTAAAAAAATCTTCTACCCGGTGCTATTTTTTCTAGAAAAAAATTAACACCTCTCTCATTCTCAAAGAATGGCAATGGCACCCACCTGGATTTCGGCTGAAAAAAAGCCCTGCTTCTACCTATCCCTTAAAGTTTTTATCCTCCCCCCATCCCATCTAGAAGAAAGTGGATTTTCCTCTGTGTTCCCCCTCTATATCACACCTTGCTCAAGAAAACAAAGGCAATCCCAAAGGCTAAAGCACAACCACCAGCATATTGTTGTTGTTTAGTCGTTTAGTCGTGTCCGACTCTTTGTGACCCCATGGAGCAGAGGACGCCAGGCACTTCTGTCTTCCACTGTCTCCCACAGTTTAGTCAAACTCATGCTGGTAGCTTCGAGAACACTGTCCAACCAACCAGCACATTAGCCAGCAAAAAAAGGGTCCTGTCAATCATTTGTAGGTCTCTGCTCTAGCTCCCAAAGCAAGGGCCCGATTCTCTCCCAAAACGGAGCCCCTGAAATAAGGTACCACAAAAGAAAGTCTTGTAGCATCTTGAGAAGTTCATTACGGCATTAAGCTTTCATGGGCTGTAGAATGCATTCTGAGGTTGGCATTTCACAACTGGCAGGAAAACACAAACATCATTCTTGCCAACCTTAAGATGCGGCAAATATTCTGACCCTGTGCAGTTTCACATTTTAAACTCACGCAGCTCCTCCCTTCCCACCTTACTTTACATGGATGTTGTGGAGACACGTCCTCTTATCACAGGCATTCAATGTTGGTTCCTTTAACCAGAATCTTTGCACTGCAAAGGACCATAGGATGTAGCTAATGTTAGCCCTACCCAGAGTGTAAAAGGTTGCAGCGCTCATCTTGCTTTATTGACCGAGGGAGTCGGCATGCAGCTTCCGAGTCATGTGGCCAGCATGGCTAAGCAGCTTTCTGGCGAACCAGAGCAGCGCATGGAAACATCGTTTACCTTCCCACTGGAGCGGTACCTATTTATCTACTTGCACTTTGGCATGCTTTCGAACTGCTAGGTTGGCAGGAGCAGGGACCAAGCAACGGGAGCTCACCCCATCACAGGGATTCAATCTGCTGACCTTCTGATAGGCAAGCCGTAGGCTCTGTGGTTTAACCCACAGCGCCACCCAGAGTGTAGACTCATTTAAATTAATGGACACGACCAACTCAGGCCTATCAATTTCAATGGGTCCATTCTGCATAGAACTTAAGACCCTCATCTGCACCACACATTTAAAGCACTATTATACTACTTTGAAGTGTCATGACTTCTTCCCCCAAAGAATCCTAGGAAGTGTAGTTTCTTAAGGATGCAGAGTTGCTAAAAGTCCCTTATTTGCCTCACAGAATTTCAGGTCTCAAGAGTAGTTTAACAATAAATCCCTCTTCCTGAAAAACTTTGGGAACTGTAAGCTCTGTGAGGGGGATAGGGGTCCCCTAACAAATCTCAGCACCCTTAACAAGTTCCCTGGATTCTTTGCAGGAAGCCATGACTGTTTCAAGTGGTATGATACTGCTTTAACTGTATAGTGCTGCTGGGGCCAGAGTTGGATACAATGGCAATTTTCTGTTCCTCCAGCTCAATTTAGTAATCACCAAGACTTCAACCAATCTTAATCTGGCCTGATTCTTGCATGTTCTAGATGCAGAAATACCACTCATGTTAAACTGAGCTTACTCCCAGATTAGTGTGCACAGGGTTCCAATTCCTAAGAATTACCATCTTAGGCCTGCAGCCATTTGGGTGGGATGGAGACACTAGAAATAATGGGTTATCTGTTCTCATTTTTAAAGTGCAAAAAAATGTTCAGTGCCTGGCAACTCTAGAATCAGGGAAGCAAAGTGATGGGAAAGAAACTGCAGAACTGGTGCCAGCAAGTTACTAACACCAGGCAAGATGGAGAAGTAGGAAGCTACTTTAGTGAGATGAACATGCAGTGACATATCCCCCTCTGGGTACCACATTCTGCATGCCTTGTAGCCATGGCTGCAATGCACTTCTTAACAGCCAAGTACATTGCTAATTTCACACCTTCAAAGCTGGGAGGGGTAACCTGTGTGTTGTTGGACTTCAACACCCATCAGCCCTGACAGTTGGCCGAGCTACCTAAGGCTGATGGGAACTGAAGTCCATCGTGTTTCCCCATCCCTGTGAGAAAGGAAGAGACTGTACAACAAGATCTGTGGCTCTCCCAATGTTAAGATTCCAATGCCCAGCAGTAAGGGATGATGGGTGTTGGAATCTAGCAACATCACCACCTGTCTATTAGAGGATATAGGGCAATTTGTTTCCCTGCATCCGGCGCATCAATGCAACCACTCACTCTCCTTGTCACAGTGTGGCCTGGGTGATGTGTATCTGACTGACCAGGCCTGTGTGGCCTCTAGCAGGATAAACACAATCTGTCAGTCATGTATTGTGAGGTTTATGAACATCCCATTATTCCACTCTGAAAAGGCGAACCATAATACTGTAGGCTCCAGGCAACATGAGTTGGGCCAATAGTTCTTATACCGTCCGCCCACTGCAGCAACCAGACATTGTGAAGAAATAGCAACAGACCAGCTGACACAAAGCATGTTTTTAGCAACAAGATTTTATAAGCAGAAATCCGAACACTTGTCAACAGTGCTCTCTCAATGATCAAGGAACTCTGTACAGCTGAAGTTTTGATGCTTGACCTTGTATCAAAATTGCAAACAGGCTTTAAAACACATTGTTGGTAACAGGTGGGAAGAGGGCGGCATCGAAGATTTTTGAACCCGTGTAGTTTTATGGGAGTTTCCATGCTCTTTATTTTGTATATTTTTATCCCAGTTTTAATATACTGAGACATTGAAGACGCACCCACAACCGGTCAAAAATGTTACTTGTCCATTTTCCTGCCGGAGTACTTTTGCATTCATGAAGGCTTGAAATTTAATCATTCTCAGAAAACAGCCCAGGACTGTTTTGTTTTTGCATACCCATTTTCATACCATTTGTATCCAGAGCAGAAGGAAGTGTGGAAATGAAGGCATATTAGAACTATTTCCCCAAGTGCTTAACAACAACAAAAAAGTATGCTATAATTCAAGGGGTGACGGTGGTAATGTATTCTAGATCTTCTGAACAAATTTAAGCAAATTTAGCAGCTGAGCTTCCCTTGGACACACTTAAACTTTTATTAAGAAAGAAAGCAAATTCTAAAGCCCACATGGATTGGATCCTGCAAAAGGCAGCTACACCCAACACTCATTTTTCTAGATAATTGCACACAGCTTTCTACAGCAGGGATGGGGAACTTGTAGTCCTTCAAATGTTGCTGAACTCAAGCATGGCCAATGGTTAGATGATGAGCAACATCTGAAGGACTACATGTTCCCTACTCCCATGCTAGAGGAGCTCTGAAGCTGCCCAAAATCAGCTTCTAATGTGACCATTTGAATACAGACTCAAGTCTTGGAAGAGATAGGCAAGCGTCTTACCAAAACAATTCAATACAAGTTCCTTGCATTTGGAGGCATTTAATTGTTGAAAGTTATCAACTTGTTTTCACATACAAGGTGTCCTACAATATCTTAGGAACAGGAATTGTGCCGGATATTTTATATGAGAAGGCAAATCTGAAAAACTGTAGTTGGTGGTCTAAATACAAAAAGTAGTCCCAAGCACCTTCCCCCACCAGTAATAACTCCCAACTCAATGGCCATGTTTAGATTCATTTATATTTTAATAGTATTAAATTAGCTTAAATTACTTGATTTTTTTTAATTCCACATTTGAAACCAATCTAAAAAGGAGCAAAAGAAATAAATTGAGACACACCACTGCAATATTAATTCCAAATGTTAACTTTCCCCCCTTTACGTCAGATCTGTACAGCAAAAAGTAGCAGAGTCCATTGATTACTGTTCCTACCATACAGCAAGCTAGAGAAAAGCCATCCTGTACACAAGAGCCTATGAAGGATCCTCCTCAGACCTTCTAATGCTTAGCTGCCAACAACAACACGCCCCAAACCGTTTCCTACCTACAGAGGACATTTTGGTGTGGCAAAAAAGGAAAAAAACTGATTTTCTTTGAAGTTCCCTTTTTAGTTCTCCAGTATTTTTTTTTTCTCTTGTACAAAATATTACAATGATTTTTTATATATATTTACATAGGTTTTTGCACATCTAGAAAAACAGTTATGAATTACAATCAGGCTTGGCAATCAATTTTGTTGTTGTTAAACATGATCTAGGGATTTAAGACAGCTGCAGCTGTAGTGGTTCACTTAATCACATGATTTTTAAGGAGGTCTGCAAAGCAGTGTTTTCCATCTCTTGCGAAAACAGCTGTAATTTTAAAAAGTCAACAATATACTGTTAATGAGCGCTATCTGTTCATTCAGTCCTTCAGCTTCCCAAAGCACAGCTGAGGAAGACTTGCTTTTGCTGTTTGGAAGCACAGGTCTATGTCATGCGCCCAAAATTCAGATCAATCGCCACAGGGTTTCCCCCCTCTTTTTGTGTCTGTGAGGGGGCTAGGTCTGAAAACAATTTTACTTCCACACAGAGTTGCCTTCATGTTAAGGCAGCCAGTTTAGAAAACTGGGTTGTGTTCAACACACATCTTAAATCCTCTGAGGACAAGTGTTATAGAACCCTCCCCAGACATTTCTTTTCCCCCTTCATTAAAGTTTTGTTTAAATTTCGCTTTTGGACCCAGATCAGGGTGGGGTAGAGGGGGGCAGAATAAAGAGCTGCGTTTTAAAGCTGCAGTGTTTTTATGGCTTATGGTTCAACTCCTTGCTTTTCTGCAAAATGAGGTATGATAAATAAACCATGTCCGTCGGATGAATACATCAAAACAGACTTAAAGCGGAAGTGGCATATGCTGGGGCGGGGAGGAGGAAAGATTGCCAAACCCAATTCCGAAACAGTGCCAAAAAAAGAGGGGGTGGGGAAGGAATAAGGTAGGGAATGGGAGAGGAAAGATTAGTCAAGAAGACAGCCAAGAACTCTCCTAGTAGCTTTCGATCCACTGCGCAAACCCTCTTTCCACCAAGGTTCGGTTTATAGACACCAACTGGAAAAGGAGAAAATGAAAGGTGTTAGAAGTTCTGCTGTCCTGTGCTAAGGCAGAGATAAGCAGCCTGCCAGGCCTTGCTGGACTCCAACTCCCATCAGCTCCAGCCCTGCATGGCCAGTGGTCAGGGACGGTGGGAGTTGAGTCCAGCAACATCTGGAGGGACCTACAGTTTCATTCCCCCCCCAGCCCCACAAGTTAACAAAGAAACTGAAAAACATAGGGTTGTAGCCAACTCAGAGTAGACCCAGTGAAATTTAACAACTCAAAGTTAATCCTCTCCATTAACATCAATGGGCCTATTCCATGGCATGGTTAGCGCTGGCCTGCTACCCATAGCATTCTGAATTCAAGGCATGTTCACATGCAGATTTACTGAAATATCCATCCTTTATTCTGATCCCCTAGCCCAGGCAGCCCCAAACTTGGTCCTCCAGATGTTTTTGGCCTACAACTCCCATCATCCCTAGCTAACAGGACCAGTGGTCGCTGACTGGGGCTGATGAGAAACATCGGGAGGGCACCATGTTGGCTATGCTGGAGTAGTTTTAATTCCTGGGCCCATTTATACATCAAAGATCCCGTCCCGGTGCTCTATTTAGTAGCATAAATACCTCTTCTCCCATCATGCTCCACAGCTGTATTAAGGGCAAGCCCGTTGCACTGTCATAATTTGTCACCTGAAATCAGAGATGTCTATTAATGCCTAGTAAGAGAGGAGCAGTAGCAGCAGCAGAGAGCGCACAATTTTCCTCCAGACATATTCCGGTACGATGCAACATGCCTAAAGACAGCGGAAGTGATCTTTCCAGTTTTACACTAGCAATATCACCAAAATTTGCAGTTACCTGGCTCAGTATACAAATCTGCCTGGCTTGGAATGGCCAATGTATTACACGTCAAGTGTGCTTTTTGTCTTCAAACATTATTCTGTGGCTCCGAATGGAGCATGAACAGCGGTGGCTGGCAGTCCCTGGTGGGGTGGCTGTAGCCGAGGAGGTCATATAAGTGGGACCGATAAGGTCACATGGTGGTCACATGGGCAGAGCCAAGTTGTTCCGGTTTTCTTGGCAAAGATGAGAAGAGTAAGGCATTGAAGCTGCATAAGTACTTAGCCTAACTAAGCTGAAAAGTGTCTAACCTTGTTTTAAGAAACGGTCCTTGCTGCCATGATTTTTAGTGCTGTTGGAATAACCACATGCTGCTCAGACGTAAGCCCCACTAAATTCCATGGGGATGGTTCCCAGGTAGGACTAGAGCCTTGTGTCAAGTTTCTTACAACAAAAGGCAGCACTAAACAATAAAAGCGCACAGCCATGACACATACCTGTGCAAGCAAAGGTGTACCTCTGGTCATTTCACTAACAGCTGTGTCCGCCTCAGATGAAAAGTGATCGTCATCTTTCAGGAAAGAAGGAAAGGAAGGAAGGAAGAAGTGTTACTCTTAAGGTAGCACTATTTTCCGGTATATTTGAAAGCTGCTCCAACACACACAAGAGATCCTGCTTGCATGGAGAAAGCTAGCACATCAGTGATGTAATATGAAAGCACGGCATGGAAGGTTCCACATTGGAGTGAAGGAGGACAACCCCTCCACAAACAATATCACCCCTACTTCCATCACTGGATTCCTGTCATTAACATATACTTTTATTCTTCTTTCAGAGACCTTAACACGTGGGACATATAGTATCTAAATTTTGGTAATAAGAAGGAAATCAAAAAATTACTGGCTTGACCGTATGCTCAAGAGGCACCCTGTTTCTTGATTCTTAACATTACACCTGCCTGGCTGAGACTCTATTTTGGTTGGTGGGCCTGTCTTAATGTGATTTCAAAGAACTTTGGTTATCACACAAACCCATCAGGGAATTGCCAAGTTTGATATGCCTACTTCTTGCCTTTGTGCTCTCACACACAGCCCCACAGATAGCAGAACACCACCTGGTTTAACTTTTAAATGCATATGGAAAACTTCTATGCCAGCAAAGTTATGCAGGCCATTAAGAAAACAACTTTCTGTAACAGTTAGTGGACAATCTGCAACTTCAACTTTTTTTACATGGTTTCTATTGTACAACCTCCGTAAACCATGTTGGTGCATTTAAAAAAAACACACAATGAAACAGCAGTGTATAAATATTTAGATATGGTAGATATGTTAATTCTCCACAAAATGGGAGGAGGAGTAGTGCGCCCCCCTCAAAAGGTGCGGTCCACCTTTGACTGTGCCATTCCACCCAACTTTGTTTTTGCAAAATTGGTCTGCTACTGCAGCTGTGCATGCAGTAATCCAGCATGATGGAAGAGACCAAGTTATGTTTGAAAACAGCCACTATCCAGCCAACCTAGCCTTTCACAGGAAGAGTTCAGGTCATGCAAGAGGGGCCAGGGAGAACTTGGGGATATTCTCCCATGGTTTCACTGAAGAGGGTCCCAATTACAGACACCACTAAGGCATGGCTCTTTGATTAACCTACTGGCTTTAACCTCCGTAAACAGCCCCCTCTCTGCAAGACTGCAACATGAGATGGAAGCAGAGCCTGAGTAGGCTCTACTGTTTTGCTGTTAAAGAGTTCTTATGCAGTTTGAATGGTGGGTCCTCCCCAAACACCCTCCGCCTCATCTCACACCCCTAGACATGAACTGTGCCACTTACACAGGCACAAAGAGCTGGACAAGTCCTAAAGGGAAAAGGGAAAATCTTTCACCAATGACTGATGTTACCTGGAAGTGGCACTACGTTGTCCAAGAGGACCTCTGCTCCTTGGAAAGGTAGTGTTACAAAGTCAGACCTTAAAAAACAAAACAAAAAAAAACCAGCAAGGTAAGAGATTACCAGAAAACAAGAACTCAACCAATAAACTATCACAGCTTGTTAGGGGCAGCAACAGAAGTGTGTGGTTTGAGGACTTGAGTACTGAACAGGTTGAAAAGCTAAGGCCCGCCTTCTCTGTGTATCACACCTTCATCCCCATTTTTACAGGACAACTTTTCCCTCTCCTTAATGATGGGAAGGGACAGGCACCCGCTATCTGCCATTTCTGAGGGCAGTTTTTGGGCCACTCACCTGATCTGCCTGAGCGTGTCAATCTTGACTCTCTCGTATCCACCATAGTCCACGTATCTGATCTCCACTTCAGTGGTGTCTTTGAAGTAGCCAATTACTTGCGCTCGCCACCAGGCCCCTTCCATGCCTGGCGCAGCACAGACAACGCCAACTGCAAAGCACAAGAGTTGGAAAGAAGGGATCAAATGTGAGATCACACACCAGCTTTTCTTTTTTATAATAGAATAAACTATATTAGGGTTTATAAAAAGAACTACAAGGCTTAATATCAGATATCTTTTTTTAATCCAAACTAAGACATTAATGACATGACCCGGAAGCTGTACGCCGGCTCCCTCGGCCAATAAAGCGAGATGAGCGCCGCAACCCCAGAGTCGGCCACGACTGGACCTAATGGTCAGGGGTCCCTTTACCTTTACTTTAAGACATTAATCTAAATAAGATAAAAACAGAGAAAGAGAAAAGGGGGAGAGAAATAATGAAACAGGAAATAGAAAAGGTATTAAAAGGGAGAGAAAGAAAAATTTAGAGTTCAGAAACTAAAGAACTTCCAATTCTTCACCTGTCCACTATATATAAACAATATTCACTTCAGCCACTCCAATATAACACCCAAAAACACCACTCTCTATAAACAAGCATTATCTTCAATAATGGCATCTAAGTGTCATTATTTCTCTTTTTCATGCAAAAAGTCTTTGAGAGTTTCCAACTTCCTGTTCAGTGCAAAAGCCTCATGATGTTCCCCAGCAATCACTCACCCACTTTGAACCTTTACAGTTTAAGCACTCAAAGATAAGGTTGCTGTTACTCTCTTTTAGGAGCAAACCGAAAACTGGGAGAATGACTGTCATGCTATTCGGTGCTAAAGGTAGAATCTAAAGTGAAGACTGAAATTAACTTGGCACCTTAGCCATTGGTTTGACATTCTCCTACGTTTGCATCACCTGAAGAGACAGCTGAATACACTTCTGACAGCACTGGCACTTTAATAAAACCACTATCAATTCTTCATTCCATCATAGGCCATAAGTGGCAGGTTTATCTGTGAGTGGCTGGTGACTATATTATAGAGAACTGACTGACTTGTTTGTGATCCAAAATGCTGCTCAGTTCACCTGAAATGGCTTCTAGAACTCTGGGAAGGGCCTTAGCTCAGGGTGTAGAGCAGGTTTTCCCAGACTTGAGCCTGAAGCTGTTTTTGGACAACAACTCCCATCATCCCTAGCTAGTGGGACCAATGGTCAGGCATGATGGGAATTGTAGTCCAAACATCTGGAGACCCAAGTTTGGGAAACACTGGTGTGGAACATGTGCTTTGCATGCAGAACGTCCCAGAGTCAATCCCTGGCATCTCCCATGTAGGGCTGGAAGAGACTTCTGCCTGAAACCCTGGAGAGCTGCTGCTTATAAACATAGAGCTAAATAGACCACAGGTCTGATTCTATACAATGACTTTCTGAATTGGATCAGATTATTATGTGTGTGTTGTATATTTTGTTGGTGAAAACCTCCTTGTGTATAGCAATATAGAAAGGTGGTACACCAATTAAAAGGAAAAGGAAATGAAATATATAAAGCAGCTTCTTATGGCTGTAATTTCAGTTTAGAAAGAAAGAAAGAAAGAAAGAAAGAAAGAAAGAAAGAAAGAAAGAAAGAAAGAAAGAAAGGAAGGAAGGAAGAAAGAAAGAAAGGAAGGAAGAAAGAAAGAGACTTCTGTTTGCTCCCTTGGCACCCTGCTCCTCTGACATCAGAGCAGCTCAGCTAATAGAACTGAGTCAGGACAGAGAGATTAGAATAGAGAGATTTAGCAAGCTGGGCTGTGGCAATGAACATATCAGGCATTTCCCAGCCTAAGGACTGTTAATTGTTTATTCGGTATATGCAACACCGGCAGCAGCCTGGAGGAACTAAACTTGTGTTGCTTTAGTTAGCAAGCTTAACAGCCAAAATGAGGAATTAAGATGGAAAGAAAACAAGAGGCAAGTGGGAGCATTTTGAAGAATATTTAAAGAAGAGTGGTCTTAAGGTTAACTGGCAAGTGGGATAAGCCTATGGGCAGCAGCAGACAAGACAAAGATAAGCAAAACAATAAACGGGGGAGAAAATATAAGGAGATGTAGCAAATCAAGAATATGAAATAAGATAAATGGAAGGTAAGTCGCGAAGTGGAAGACTAAGGTATGATTTGTATAGATGTCATATGGAAAATGAATATAAATAAGTAATAATAAAACAAACTTTTTTAAATTCTGCAAGACACAGGAGAGAGCAATGTTGTGCTGATCAAAGGCCTGGGAAACTGCACGGGAAGAGCTGTGTTTGCTGGATCCCTTTCCACATCTAACGCAAGCGGCTTGTGCTAAGAACCGGCGACGGTTGAAGTCAGGCAGATTCTACCAAAGGCATCCCAGAGACATTGAAAGGAGGAGCACTCACCCTCCACCGGTGTCGGCATGGTTGGAATACCTGGCTGGGAATAGCACAGGTACATCTGTTGGTCTAGACTACGGAGGACGTGGTAAGTGGGGTGCGTGTGCTGCTGCACAAACAAGTGTCCCGCGTTGATTTGGTTGACCACGATCACTTCCACCGTGACCCCATCTGGAAGCATGAGCTGCCAGAGAGAGAACATGTTTTTCCACTCAGGTAACATCTTGGATTATTGCAACGAGCACTGCCCCCGAAGATGGCTAGGGGACACCAGTTGGTCCACAATGCAGCCGCCAGGCTAATGGCCGGCTTTCCCACTTATGTCTCATGTAAAACCCCATTTTAAAACAGCGGCACTGGTTGCCCGTTCATTCCCAAACCCAATTCAATGTGTTCACATTAGTGTTTAAAGCCCTAAATGACTCAGGCCCCCAATATCAGAAAGACCGCCCCCGTTCCTACAGGCCCTCTCAGGTGCTGAGATCGGCAAAGGGGGGCCCTCATGATAGCCCCTCCATCCTCAGAGGTTCTGTGTGTTTGTGTGTGTGGCCAGGGAGAGGGCCACAGGTCCCCCATTCCTCCCCTAGGGGGCAAATATCTTCCATTCCTGCCCTTCAACTGCAAACCAAACATAGAATTTTAAAAGTGCCTTAAAAAAACACCACACAACTGTACAGATCTACCCACACCTACACAAAGCCTGTTATATATGCAGGGCACACATTACACATTTTGATAACCCAGGAGCAGTGGTGTGTGGTCAGTGGGCATGGGGCACCAGGCTAGTCCCCTAAATGTTCCTGGTAAATCAGAGCAGTGAAGTATTAAAAGTCTGGCGCCTCCTTCCCAAAGCCTGGGAACCTTCTGCCCAGCTTAGGGAGGTGCAATGCTTGCGCACATGACATCGCCCTCACAAGCTGGCACCTCTGGCCCTAATTGTTCCACTACAAAAAAGATTCACTGCACGCCACTGCCCAGGAGTCTTAACTACAGAGACCTGCCGAAAAGGGGCCCACATGATGCTGCAGCCCACCAACCAGTGAGTTTGATGCCTTCAACAGCTGGTGTTTCATGCAGCTCTTTAAGGGATTTGCCATCTTTCTGCAGGGCCTGCAAGACGGAGCTGTTCCGCCAGGCCTTTGAGCAGGATGCAGTTTGACTTACTTTCCTTTGTATAAAACAAGCCCGAAGGAGGCCCCCAACCTGCTCACAGGTCTTTGTATGATCAGTGGAAACAGTTGGCCCCAGCAAGTATTAACCACTCTCAATTCCAACCTGATAATTGCCACCTGCCCAGATTTTAACTTGTCTGAATTAATTTTAAGATGTATTTTAATTAATTGATGTCGGTCTTATGCATATTGTGTTGTTTTTATGATGTTAGCCGCTCTGAGCCCAGCCTCGGCCAGGGAGGGCAGGATACAAATAAAATATATTATTATTATTATTATTATTATTATTATTATTATTATTTATTATTATCATTATTAAGGTGCCCCAAAGATATCCCACAGACCCCGCGCTTACCCAGGAGGTCATGGGGAGAGAATGCACTGGCAGTGGGGAGGTGGTGGCGCATAGATATTGGTGAGGCTCAGGTCCTTGAACTTCTTGCCAATCAGGCTCAGGGCTTTGTCGACGTTTTGCTGAGAGCCTTTTTGGGGGTGGGTGGGGGTGAAGGAGAGAAAAAGAGGCAGATGCTTAGGAGGTTTCCAGAGACAAAGCAGGAGATCAAACTTGTCTGCATCTCTGTGAGGCAGGGTGGTTAACTGTGCTCGCCACAACAAGAGTGACTTGTTCAAGGCTGCACAGATAACAGGAGAACAGCTTCTGCCAGGCTAGGTGACATGTAAGGGTGTAAGAGGAGTCCTGATGCATTGGGCCAAAGGCCCACCTAGCTCAGCACTCTGTTCTCACAATTGTCCACCAGGTGGGGAAGGGCCATAGGTCAGTGGTAGAGCTCCATGCACACTGGAGTTAACTGCTTATTAGCAAGAAAAGGGTCTGCACAGACCTGGTGGAGTGTCAGGCCTAATGAACACCGGAACTCATCCCTGGTAGGTCTTACCCCCCTGGACCAGTCAACGAGACTAAAGGTCCCTGCCTCCCCACAGCTGTCTATGTCTCCTCCTCTCCAGGGTTTTTTCCAACGACCCAAGACTGCACCTGCATGCTTGTCTTTCCTCCTCCCGTTTCATCCCTCTTCTGGTTCTGGGAGACCAGGTGGGAAGGAAGCTCGTAGCAGCAGGACGGGGAGACACCCGTGACTCTTCAGCAGCCTGACTCATCTCTGCCTCTTGGCCTCCTCATCCCACTCACCAGCTTCAGCTTCAGCCTCTTGACTTCTCTCTGTCACCAACTCTCCTCGCTCACTGAGCCCTGGTACCTCTTTAGCTTCCGACACCTCCTCCTCCCAGTCTTCTCCCTCTGACCACTCATCGTTGTCCCACCACCACTGCCTGAGTCCTGAACCTTCTTCCCTTGGGAGTTCCCCAGCTGGTTCCTCCCACCATTCCTCTGCATCCAACCAGGCCATGACACCTGGGAGGAAATCCTTGTCTGAAATCCTAAAGAGCAATTGCTAGTCAGTGTAGACCAGGCACCCCCAAACTCGGCCCTCCAGCTGTTTTGGGACTACAACTCCCATCATCCCTAGCTAACAGGACCAGTGGTCAGGGATGATGGGAGTTGTAGTCCCAAAACAGCTGGAGGGCAGAGTTTGGGGGTGCCTGGTGTAGACAATGCTGAGCTAGGTGGACCAATGATCCACAAAGCAGCTTTCTATGTTCCTAGCTGTCCTCAAGGGAAGCCCCACAAGCAGAACCTGAGCACAGCAGCCCTCTCCGCACCTGGGATTCCCTCCACAACTGGTGTGCAGAGGCATACTGCCTCCAACAGGGGACCCATGGAAAGGCAGCTCCCTAGACACAACCTCTTGGCAAGACACCCCGCTAGAGACCCAGCCAAACCACTCACTCAGCCATCTGCCATCCCACCCACTCACCTTCTATATGGCAGATCTGGAAGTCCTGGGTGTAAGGTAGTGTGGAAATGTAGATTTTGGCACCGGATGTTTGTTTCAAGAAGCTCACGTACCTCCCCTGCTTCCCAATCAGCCGTCCGACTAAATGCTGCAGGGAACAAAAACAGCATGAAGAAACAGCATGAAGGAACGTTCTGCACACAGAATCCAGCTGAAGTTGGTGGGTCCTTGGCTGAACATTATGAAAACCTTCTTGAAGTGAATAGCAGCTGACGCAGTGGGCCCTGTTTGGGGTCTCCCTCACTGGAGGTCTCCAAGCAGAGGTTGGAGCACCACCTGTCAGGCTGAAGCTCTATCTCAAAAGAGTTTGCTGCATCAAGGAATGGGTTTGAGGAAGAGTCATAGCTCAGCTGACAGAGCACCAGCTTTTCAGGTCCCAGGTCCATTCTCCAGCATCTCCAGGGAGGGCTGGGAGAGACTCCCTTCATGAAGCTTGGGAGAGCTGCTGCCAAGCACGTGTCAACAACACTGAGCTAGATCAGATCAGATCCCTTCTGAGTTCTGAAGTCAGGAGAAATGACTAGCTGGGAGGCTCTGTGCCAAGGGAGGCTCACTTTTTCATATGCTCTTTATGCTTAGCTGCATGCACCATCTTCTTACAACAAGTCAGCTACTCTTCCAAGCTTCTACACTAGCCAGGCCACTCTCATCCGGGATGAGCTTCTTCAGGCTGCAGTGAGACACCCAAAGGAGCCCCTCACCACCACCCATCTACTTCTCTGTCCTTTTAAACGCCTTGAGCAAAACTGTCTCCAGGAATTCTCCTCCAACCTGCTCTATTATGGGCCCTGAAAGCTCCCCCAAAATCCCAGTTGCTTGTACAAACACCTCCATGTCTAAACACACATGCTCATCCACAAGTCCTCAGGGAGAGAGGATTAATATGGAGATGTATTCAACAATTCCTGCTTGGCATGTCTTATATGTTTCCGTTACGTCTGAACAATTCTGCATTGATACAGCCATGTGTAAATATAGTCAACACGCTTTCAGGTGTGAAGCAAAACTTTGGTTAGGCCAGATTCCACCAGAAATGTGGGGCATTACCTTTGGTACCTCTATCTCCCAGATAACAAGCTCTGTCTTATTAGAATCTGCTCCGGTCTTCGAATTCTGGCAGCTGTCCTTATTTCTGAGGGCACAGCCAATGTCCACTGAATCCATGCTATTTACATCCGAACCTACAAAGAGAGATAAGTTCCGCAGCTCTGAGGCATGTTACAGAATCTTATACATAAATAAATAAGTTTGAAATATGAGGAAGTATTCAGAGCCGGGGCGAAACTACACACCTAGCAGGAGTTCTGAAACAGGATCCTCCTTATTCTACAAAGCAGGGTGAGGGAAAGGGGGTCTTTCCATTCGTGGCACACCATACATTTAAAGCTCCCCTCCCCTCTAGAACACACGAACACACACACACACACACACAATTCTGGGAATTGTCTCCTTGTGTTGTATGCAGACAAGGCCAACTCAGAATAGACCCAATGAAATTTATGGGCCTAGGTTAGCCATGTCCATTAATTTCAATGGGTCTACTCTTGAGTGGGACTAGCATTGGATACAACCCTCTGCGAGAGGTAAGCTACAGCTCCCAGGATTCTTTGCAGGGGGTGGAAAGTGCTTTAAATGTATAGCTTAAGTATAGCTTGCGTCTTCCCACATGCATGCTTCCGAAAGTGAAAGTTCAAGAACCCATAGGGCCCTTACAAATTTTCCACTTTGCTATTGAAAGAAACACAGGTGAGGAATGATTTGGCATAGAGTAATGGAGGGGAAGACCCCCATCCCAAAACAGCCTGAGCCAGGGTGTTCATTGCCTTCAACGAACACAGCCATAAATACAGAATTAAACACTAGAAACCAAGGCTGAAGTTCTATGCACATTTAGATAATGTGACCCTACTGCCTTCCTGATGCTTGAGGACTAGCTGCCCCTTGTGTCTAAGAGAAAGGCAATATTGTGAGAGGTTTGCGTTGGTTCACAAAAAAACTCCTCTAAAGTCATCTTGAGTTTAAGGACTGTTCACGCTAACCCACCTTGATAATTCTAGTAAATCTAACATACACACATACTTTACAGCAGAGTGAACAAGTTCTGCGGGGCCTCCTGAGCTGCCACTTCTATCTATAAATATAAATAAACACCATTCAGCAAAAGGGGAGCTTTTAAGAATAGATCAGGGTCCAGACCTCTATGAAAGATCTTGCAGGTGAGGGAGCTGGAACACCTAACAATACGTTATCATCCTCATCAACAACAATAATAAAATTAATTTACGTACCGCTTAAAAGACAAATGGAGCTTCTATGCAGTTTACAAGTTTACAAGTACAAAACCAATCACACAGAAAATTAAAAAATAAACCCATGTCATTAAAATATGCTACTGAAAAAAATAATAATCAAAACATGCATGGTTACACCATCTGTGCTGGCTTTCTGCCCATTTCCAGGTCCAATTCAAAGTGCTGGTATTAACGTTTCAAAGCCCTGAACAGCTCAGGGCCAGGTTACTTGAAGGATCATATCCCTCCAGATATACCTGCCCAGAGGCTTTTCTCCAGATGCCCATACCAACCTGAGACATGTAGGCGACTAATGAGGAGTGGGCCTTTTTGGTGGTAGCATCCTGGTTGTGAAGTGCCCTCCCCAGAGAAGCTTAAGAATGTTTTAACAGTTTTAGAATGCTTTCATTCTGTTTTTAAATTGTGGACATGTCTGCCGTCCTGGGCTCCTTCACAAGGGATATAGAGTCAACATACATACATCAGGAAAGCACCATGACAGCTCCTCCGGCAACAGTGGTTCCACTTAGTTATCGGGCCTAACAATAACAACTGAAAGAGCCAAACTCCATTTTAAAGCTATTTAAGCTGCCTCCACATCTCACACTAGCAAACCTGACACATTCATGACAAGCTGAGAAAAGCAGGACTTTCGGGTGTGCCCCGAATCTGCTGCCAATACATTTCTAGTGACCCCAAAATTCTAGCGTTTATATATTTTGAGAGAGAGCACACCCTTACTTTTACACCCAGAGCAGCCCAGTGTAAGAGGCTCATAGCTCTCCAAGGAAGCAGTTTTATTTACACAACCCTGGAATCTTTTGATGATGGGCAGTTAATACTGCAAATAAATTGGGGGGGGGGGGACGACAAGAAACAGGACACATGCAAGAAAACGGGAACACGGGAATCCTTACCCCCTGAGTTGTCTGCATCTGCTTCCGCCGACCACGGCTGGTCGTGCCTCCGATGGGGGCAGTCTTCCTTCAGCACTCCGTTGCTGTACGGCACTTTGTTCTCTGCTAGCGTAGAGGAGGAGGGAGGCTTTTTGCTGGACGCCAGCTTGTGTTCCGAGTCTTTGAGCGCGGGCATGTTCAGCAAATCCAGGCGCTGCCCCAAAGCGGGAGAGGAGGTGCTTTTCAAGAGGTCCTCCGCACTCGCCCCGTCTTCTGAAGTGCAGGCGCTGCAGCCGGAATCTTCCGTCATCGTCTGAGCGTCTTCCAACTCATCCTCGTGGTTTGCGGCTGGGTCGCCGGCAGGCTGCTCAGCGCTTCTGGAGTCCCTGGGGAGGCCGTGGCTTGGGTTTCCCAAGAGGCCGTGCGTCAAGTGGCTTGAGTACATGGCGTGGCGGTTTACGTTCTCTTCCAGCAAGGGAGTCACTTCTACGGCTTTCTCAGCGACACAGCCGTGGCCCTTGCTGCACTCTGCCTGGCCGGCAGCTGCCACGGAGATCTTCTCAACCCGGCTGGCCATCTGAGAGATCCTATCTGACATGTCGCTGACCGACCCAGAAAGCACTTCCTCGGTGGCTGCCTGGATGACGTTGGAAATTATATGGATGGCAACCTGCTCAATCTTCTCAACTTCTTCTTTGTCTAAGCTGATGCCTCCCACCCTCGCTTTCTCCAAACTCACCTTACAGCCAACATCTCCAAATCCATGGCGCTTCAACGTACTACCAGCGTTCGAACTGGACGTCTCTTCTTTCTGGGCCAATTCTGCGCTAGCAGGTTTGACGCATTTAGCCTCCGCTTCCATCTCTGTGGCCGCCGCACCGGCGCAGCCGCCACCAATCTCTTCCTTTCCAGTGGCATCCACAGAAGGTTGAGAAACCGCATCACCTGCCACTTGGGAGCATGGGGCGGCCAAAGAACCCGCATCTGAGGAGGTGGCTGCTACAGAACAGAGGCCTTCTTTCAAAGGCTTCTCTGGTGCATCATCCTGGACCACATCCTCCAAACCGCTATCCCCAGACTTCTCCAAACTAGAAGACTTCTCTAGCAGAGCTGCTGCCGTCGAGACTGGCGATGGCACCCGGTCTGCCACTCGAGTGGCTGCCAGTGACCTCTCGATAGAAGCTTCACCAGCACAGGTATCGTCAGCTATCTGAGCGCCCGGAAGGGAAGGCTCCTGTGCGGGGGATCTAGGTACATCTCGGCACCCCGTCACTTCCAGTTTTTCACTGTCGTCCTGAACCCTGTTGGATTCAATGGTTGTTTTTGCCGTGACAGGACGGTCTCTTGGGGGGTCCCAGCGCCGAGCGCCGCTTTCCAAAGGGGCCTGCAGGCTTGCCGAAGACTCGACGGTAAAGGCTGGTTCAGCAGGCTGCTTGGCTTCTGGGGGCAGGGGCGGCTGGCTGTTCAACGGCACCCCTTCTCTAGCGGAAGGCTCCTTCTTGGGGGAGCCTATCCTGTGTTCTTCTATGTTGGCCAAGTCTCGCCTGTCGTGATTGCTCGCACGCTCCTTTTTGCGTGAAGAAAACCACCACCACCCGATGAGCGCCAGCACTCCAGGGATGGCAAAGGGCAGCAAGGTGCGGAAGCGGAGCGCCATTTTGCAGATCCTCAGCGATTACACCTAGGGACAAAAAGAAACAAAAACATGGAGTGTCACGTTAAAGGCTTCAGTTTTCCTCCCACTGTTCTGAGAACATCTAAGCCAGCTGGCATGCTCCAGTATTCCTTGACCGCCATCGCTGACTATTGGCCACTCTGGCTGGAGATGATGGGAAGGACAACATCCATGGAGTGCCAAGTTGGCAAAGGATTAGCTTTGGCAACATTAACAACTGAGCAGCTGAGCTTGCCCAGCATTCACCAAAACGCCACCAAAACCTTGTGGCCTTGCTGATATGAGAGGCTGTGTAGCCAGGATCACACCAGCGGTGCTCAGAAACACTCAAGACTGGCCTACAATCAGGCATCCAAGCCGCAGAAGCTCAGAAGTCTAGTTTCTCCCTCTTGAATACCTCAAGATTTTTAAAAAATAAAGTTTCTAGTTCTCAGGGGCTACGAAAACACTCTTGGAAGGGGGGATGATGCCTGCTAACATTTCAGAGGTACCTCTGGGGGCAAAAGCAGGTTTTTTAGGAATCGGGAAGGGAGCGTGTTTTGATTTAAAACTATGTAGGACCTTCCATGAAGACTTGGCTGTGAATATTCTAAGCATTTAAGATTCTTCCCTAGAAAGAGTTCAAAGGCAGCTCCTCACATACAAAATAAGCCACATGATTAATACATAAAAAAAAAAATCCTAACAAGTAGTAAGCAACATGATAGAGGCCTATAAAATAACAATGGAAATAAAAATGGGTTGCAGTGGGTCAGAGTGGCCCAGTCGGTTTAGCTGCTATGCTTTGAAAGATCTAGGAGGCATGGTTTTGCCTAAAAGTGGGGAATGTTGGGTATTAAAGCAGAAATAGTCAACATACTGGCCTAAGTAATATAGGAAGAGTCTGATGGGTTAGGCCAATGGTCCAGCATCCTATTGTCACAGTGGCCAACCAGATGCCCCAAGGGGGAGCCCATAAGCAGAAACCCAAGTGCAAGAGCCCTCTCCCCACCTGCGATTCCCAGCAACCAGTATTATCCAGAAGAATACTGCCTCCAACCGTGAAGGTGAATGGACTACAACTCCCATCAGCCCCAGCTAGAGTGGCCAAAGGCCAGAGATGTTGGGAGTTGTAGTCCAACAGCTTCTGGAGGGCACCACTGTATTAAGGAACCCTCTGCCTCCCCGCATAACTGAGCCCTGCTGAATGCTTGGACTACTTCTTTCGAATCACAGACAACATGCATCCCCACCTTTAACCATGAAATATGCACCATCAACATATGCAAGCAGAGGAAATCACCCACCGGAAGAAAATCTGTGCTGCAAACACCTGGTTTGATATACCGTGCTGGTCACCTTTCCACAATCTTCCTTCTCAAGTGCACCCCCCCCATGCTCTGCCCAGTAGCCCCTGATCTTCATTTTGACCTCAAGACCATAAAGATCACATGATGATTATTCTCTTTTGGTTTACAGGAGCAAAAATGTTTATAGTTGCAGATAAGGATCTCAAATACAGCAACATGCATCAGAGATGTTCGTCATAGATCCACAACAGAACAGAACAACACACACAGAGAGAGCTTTTTGTTGCACTGAATGTTGTACAACAAACTGTATGGCACAAGGAAGGCTGAACAACAGGGGACATGTTGTGCATCAGCTGCCATCTAAAATAAATTTGGAAATCCCTGCCTTCATGAGAATCAGGGCTAAGTCCTACTCAGAGGAGACTCAATGGAATTAATGGACCCAATTTACTCATGCCCATTAATTTCCGTGGATCTACCCCTAACAGGAATATTCCACAGTCAAGATAAGTGACAAAAATTGAGGTTCGCATTGTATTCTGCCCAACCTGTTACTTGAGCAAGAGTTATAAAAAGACAAGGCTGGCATTCCTTTCCTTAACAGAGGAGCATCTGCGGGGCTTGTGGCTGGAACGTCAGGGGTAAACAGCTGCCCATTCAGAGAGCTGCTTGCTGCAGAACACTCTCACAGTTTACATTGGCAGCCAGCAGAGTTTGGGTGTCTCCAAGGGCACCCAAGGTTGGAAGTGTATAACCAGGAATATCAGCTCCAAGGTCTAGTTCTCAGAGAAGTGGGGCAAGCCTGTGACCCGGCTGCACCCCTCAGACTTGGAGCGGGGAGGCTTACGTGTCAGAACGATCTTCCATACAAACTAAATACACTCCCTGCATGCAAAAAGCCTGCATGTGGGGAAAGAGCCTGACGCGCTCTTCTTCTGCATGCAGAGGATGAGGTCTTTGTTGCTCTATGGAAGAGCCCTCCCCAACCCAAATGTCTGGAGTGGTACAGCACAGACAGAGGTTTGCCCCACTTCACTGGGAAACTAGGCTATGATGACAATGTGCTTATGGCGTTTTCTAAAAAAGATTCTCTCTCTCAAATGCAGAGGAAAATCTGCAGGGATTTCTTCTACTGCCATTTAATGATGATGGCATCTTGAGGGCTCTCCAGGGGGAACCCAGGACGCTTTCCAGAAGTAAGAAAGCAGAAGGTAAGCTGAGTGAGAGACATGCGAAGCATGCGAGGAGGGCGAGGGAAGAAGGCTGCATTGAGACAAAGCAGGTGCGGAGCCCTGATCTGAGCTGCTGGAGGAACAATCTGGGCTTTCAAAAAATAAATTAAAAATTGCTTGTAACATTCCAGTTTATTATTTTTATTTTTATTATTGAGCCAATGAGGAGTCCCAAGACACAAGAGCCTCTCATTTGTGAATTATCCACCAAAGTTGGGCTTTTTCCAGCAATTTTGTCAGGACTCAGGTTCTCAGAAGCCAAAGGCAGGCTCTCCCCTTATGTGTAATGAAGCATTCAAGAGCAAAGCAACCCACTTACCCATCCCCCTTTGGAGATGCTGAGAATAAAACTGAGTAACCAAAAGAAAAAGAGCTAAAGCAGCTTTAAGTTTATAAACCATCTGCGGCTGAAGGCTTGGGAACGCATCACAGCGCATGAACATGAAAGGAGCCCAGCAAGATCAGGCAGATGTCCTTCTAGTTCATCATCTGTTCTCTCCCACAGGTCAGCCAGATATAACAGAATCATAGCACTGTAGAGCTGTAAGGGACCACGAGGGTCATCTAGTCCAACCCCCTGCAATGCAGGAATGTTTTGCCCTAAGTGGGGCTTGAACCCACGACCCTGAGATTAAGAGAGGCTCGTGCTCTACCAACTGAGCTATCTCATGCCTCCAGGAAGCACACAACAAGCGAAGAAGATAGACAACAGCCCTCTCCCATTACTGCCCCCTCCCATCTTCTGAGTTTTGGAGATATTCTGCCACTGAACATGGAGGTTCCATTAATCACGATGGCCAGCAGCATGAAACAGATCTCTAATAATAAAAGATGCGGCACCAATAACATTCGATTCTGCAAAGCGTAGATTTGCATTCAGGACTGCAAGAGGACAGAAGAGGCAGCAGCTGTTCAAAAATAAAAGAGTGCCAAGACATTTAGGACAGGGGTGGGGAACCACTGGCTCTCCAGATGCTGCTAGAACTACAACTCCCATGCTGGCCAGGGCTGACGGAGTCCAACAAACTCTGGAGGACCACAGATTCATCAACCTTGCTCTTACAAAAATTTACACTGCATATGCTCTGTTTCTAATTAAGGGAGATGAGCAAGGAATGGAGACACTCATGACACCTCCCCAGTTCACTATCCAGCCAACTTTCTGGAAACTTCACTAGAAATCACCCACAACAGGACTAGAAACTTGGCATGGGGCAGTGGGGTGGGATTCTATATGCATGCAAAAGGTGCTGCGATTCCCCAAGAAGTAGCTGTGTTGCCCTGCACCAGCCTCGGCTCTTCGCCTATATTGTGCTGCTTCTCTCCCTACCTTCCAGACACCCTTGCTTACAAGGGAATTTAAAATTCCAAGTGTCGGGTATAATTGGCATGCAATGATACTCAAGAGTGCATTAACAGCATCCTGCATTGCAGAGGGTTGGAATAGTTGACCCTCGGGATCCCTTCCAACTCTACAATTTAGGATTCTACCTGTGGGCCTTCGATGTGGTTGGACTACAGTTCCCATCATCCCTGATCACAGACCTTAGTGGCTGGGGCTGATGGGAGCTGAAGTACAACAACAGGTTCCCCCCTACCCAGGTGAATGAACTAAATATAGCACCGGGAGAAGGAAAACCTGTGTCCAAGTTTAAATCACAGTGGTCAAGGAGTGTGTAGAAATACTCCTCTCTAAGGCAGCAAATATGTATGTATATAATATTCCTCTCTAAGGCAGCAAATATATATATCCCTGCATGTAGAAAGCAAGGGTGGAAATGCTTCTTCTAGATACAGATTTACCACCTCAATGAGAACTTGGGGCAGTCCCCTACTCCCTCCTCCAGTAGGCAATTCCCTTAGGTCTGGCGTTGGGAACTCGTGGCTCTCCAGATGTTGCTGAACCATCAGTACCAGCGAGCATGGCTAGGGATGATGGGAGTTGTAGTTCAGAAACATCTGGAAGGCCACTTGTTCCCCATGCCCACCTGAGGCTATGATCTGAAATTGCACACTGGGTCAGATTCAGACACACCCTTCTAGAAATATTCCCTTCCTGTGATGCTTGCAGCTTCTGCCTGGAAAAAAATATGTGTCCGCTAGGCTAGACATTGAACACCTGGCTCCTCACATCTACTAAATGGGGTTTGGTGGGCACAATAGCACCAGCTCTCTTTGGAAGTTGGTTTTTTCTCCCCCCAATTCCTCCTTTACGTGCTGCAGAATCAGAACAGACAAATCCTGCAGTAAGCGGATCCATATAAGGGCCGAAACGAACTAGTGGCGCAGGGTTTTTAAGGGGCGGACAGAGCAGCTCTGCCTAAGATCTGAGAAGGGAAGAAGTTGGCTGGTGTTCACTTCAGCACACACATACATGGCAAGCTGCTGTGTTGCACATGCTGGCATCGTTCCCAAGCCTGGGATGGGATTCCAGTTTCGTCAGTAGACTCAAGGATTCTGCACTTGGCAAATGCACAAACGC